TTTCAGTTAGAATTAAAATCCGTTTTTGGGGGAAGCTTCGAAAAAATATACCAAGGATAAATATAATAGCCGTATTTATACAGAAATACATTAATTCCAGAATACCAACAAACTCATTCTTCCTGATTTTCAAAGCATTTACTTGTCATCATTCCTGACCATTGACAATCCCTTTCTTCTTAAGTAAATATCATCCTGGTCGTATTCCAAAACTCAGAAAAATAAATTTTAAATCAAAGTCTATTGTTGGTCTTTGAGATTACTTTCGCATCCACATCTGGCCCGCAGTTACCAGCCTCCAGCGAGTTGAAAAGCCTTTTGAGTGACGAGTTGTTTCCCACTCTACAGTCACTTTCCCCGACGACAAAACGTTACTAGCCTTTCTCATGGCAGATGTTCGGGCGAACTACATTCCTTGGTTCCGCCAGTCCATATTTTCACGACTCAGACCTGCCAAGCCACATCCGCTGGCACGAATCATCCTCAAATCCTTCCTATTCCATTGGTAAGGAAGAAGTTCCACAAACACGGCTCTTTCCCAGAACTGTTACTTTGTAGAAAAGTCTCCTGAGTGGATGCTTCCCTGAACATTAATCATAACCTAGGTACCTCTACGGAATCGCTAAAAAATAGAGCATAGTCTGATGAAAAAGACGCCAAAATTTACGAAACAAAATTTTATCGTCAAAATGCTTATGTTTTTATGAAGAGGATAGACCAAATTTTTTTTAATTATTTTCAAAATTTTTCCATCTTTTAGAATATTCTAAATTTTGATTTAAAAAACCTTGTTTATTTTTTTTGCTATAAGGAATACTAAATAACATAGATGATTTTTAGCGTTTTTTTTGGTATTATACCTATTAATTTGGAAAAATCTTGTAAAAATAAAAATAATTGTCAGATGTTAATGAAACTTTCAGAAAATATTCACAAATGATCGAAATTATTATGAATATGTTTTTTTATTAAAGTCATGGCAGAATTTTTTTTTTTTTTATTAACCCCCATATCTAATTTTATGAAAAACTCAAAAATTCCATACCATCGGTTTTAGTGATTACAATATTTAAAGCACAAGGCTTTGAAGAATGTAAATCATGTTTGTTTTTTTTTAATGAACCCATTACCTGAAAATCAGCTCTGAATTGTAACATACAAAACTCAATAAAACCAAATATACTATTTAATCTCAAACGCTTTTATTTGTTTTTATTTGTTCGTATGAATATGGACAATATTTTCTGAAAGCAAAAATTTTTTCAATGAAAATTGAATTTTTAATACAATTATTTCTCATTTCTTTAATTTTAAATCGAAATTTTAACACTTTTTCATTAAATTTTTAAAAAATTATAAAAATAAATAACAGCACCATCTACCTTTGTACTTCTCTTTCTTAGCTCGTCATTGTCTAGGGATTTGAAAATTGTATAATTTGGACCAATCCGATGATCCCCACTTATGAAGAAATGTAATTATGTTTTGATAAAAAGCGCTTAAATGGTTTGTCATTAAAAAGTACGGAAGGTCACAAACGTCACGTGGCTTGAGTTTAAGCGTAGATTTCATTATTTATAGTATTTATTATCTCTATAGATAGTATCAACAAAGTTATGTTTTAAGTTCCAGTAATAATAAAATAACAAAATAAAGGAAATTGGAATGCTAATTTTTTGTTTTTTATTATCTACTAATTACGGGGTAGTACATAAGCTGATTCACGAAAAAAAAAAAAAAAAACGTTACGTCACGTATCACGTATTATCCGTATGATAACGCGAATCTCACGTTAGCTGTCGATATGTGATGACTTGAAAAATGACAACACAGTTCAGATCGCCTACTTTTTATTTCGAACAATTTTTTTATTCGAAAAAAAGTAAGTAAAAGCTTCTTTCAAAATATTTTAAATAATCTTTTAAATTTGCTAATTTTAGTCAAATAAATTTTGAAAAACGTAGAATTGATTTTTGGAATAATTATAAACAAGTATTTTAACTTGTTTACAAAATTAGAAAAAATGGCTGATAGCTACTTTTTTTAAGTAATTTTGATGACAGAAATAAACAACTTTTTTAAATAAAATTTCGGACCTGATAAGAATGAGTAAAAAATTTTAAAAATAATCAAAAAATACTTTGGTGTTTCTTCTTAAGAATGATATATATATTTAAGCCGATAAAAATTTATTACATCGTTTTTTTTTTTCATGCTATATTTTTTTTGTAGCAATTTTGTGGAGATACCTATCATAACCTCTTCGAGTCGAGGGTCCAATGTTATCTATCCTACATATCCTCATAATAGGTAACCTTTGCTCCCTTCCTGAACACCCTTACACCATCCCCATTCAGTACCCTTCTATCTAGAGTGGCTCTTGGACCTTGGAAAAAAGTGAACTATTTAATTTTTTGCGTGGAAAACAACTAGGACTCATCTTCAAGGGAACAATAATAGAATCAGTGAGTTTTACTCAATGAAGCCACGTCTTTCCAAACGATTATCCGTTTTCTATATACAACTGTGATTGTTGTTTCAATTTTTCTTCCCACTATAAATGCTGCTTGGGTTTATGCGTTGAGGTTATCAAATGTAATTGCGTGTTCTAAGAGCATTTATCTATTATACATTTAACGATTCAAGAAAAAACAACGAAACTCCAATTGTCCATCAACAATAAAATATATATTGAAACAATAACATACAAAACAATCATGTAATGTTGTATAGTAATTAAGGGAGAAAAAGTTGCTTCCCTTTAACTTTATTCTGAATAAGATTGAATGTTCGAAAGAATTTCTCTTGAATAAGAATGTTCAGGATTCTATGTTGAATAGAGTCTGGTGTAGAAAGGAATACAGTCAATTAAGAAGTGTGTTGTTTTGAGAAATATATAGAGAGCTGGTTCATGAACTTGGCTTAGTCACAGAGAGGAAGAATATGTGTAATGTGATACAAAAATCTGTGTCTGTGTGTACGTTGTGAGTAAAGTCGTGGATTTGTGTAGACAGGCGTAAATAGCTGGACTCTAATGAAACTTGTGGAAACAAACCACTTGTTTATAAAGATACTGGTAGGCTCCAGGTGACACCGCGGGAAAATATTCAGCATAAAAATGTTTGATTGGTTAAAATTCGACCAATCACTGATTTTGTAACAAAGACATATGTTAACAAGTTCACGGCAGGAAAATTCAAAGTGGTGACTGCGATTGCTAAATTGTCTTATGGAAAAGCAGTATCTATTTACTAGCCAATCGCAGACGAATAAATTGTGGGCGTGGAATGCGTAGCAGTCAATACACCATCAAATCAAATTCTCGGTGTCATTTTGCATAAAATCGTTTTCATTGCATATATTTCATCCCTCGTCTAATCGCCTGTTATAGATAAACAGCAAGAAAACTTCTAAAAAATGGCGACATAATCGATTATATGGTAATTTCACTGACTAAGAAGATTTTTAATTAAACTTTCGGACGTGCTAAGAAAGATTAAGAAATGGAAAAAAGTAATCAAAAAATACTTTGGTTTTTCCTCTTAACAATAACATAAACATTTAGACGATAAAAATTCATCAAGTTTAAGGCCGTTTTATCATGCTATGCTCTTTTTTTAACGATTTTGTAGAGATCTCTAACTGAAGAGTGTGTGGGCACAAACACCTTGATCAAAAGAACAAACGATGAGACATTTGCTGCAGTCAACAACTTTATGAATTCTCCGTTTTAACAAAGCAAGGGCAGATAACAAACAGGTAGAGGGGGGCAACTCTGTAAGAACTTGTCCCGTGCCTAATTTAAAGTTATTTACTGTTTCATTATTTGTGAGTTTGGAATTAAATTTTTAAAAAATGCCGATTCTTTTTTCTTTTTTGCTATGCCGTTTTTGTTTTTATAAACCTCGAATGTATGTTTGAAAGAAAAATGGTGACAAATAAATGCTATTTTTATCAGCTGCATTGATTACGTTAAATATTCAACAAACAGAATATACTTTTTATTTTTTTTAGTAAGATTCTTTAACAAGGGGAATAATTCTTACTTAGTTTTGCTTAGGTTGTGTCCCTTAGATCACGACTAACCAAAGAAAAAGCGAGCTGAGAAAAAGATGGAAATAAATTCGCAAGTCTATCGGAAATTGATTTTGGGACTAATAAAAACTTTGTCTCCACAGAAATTAGCCGTTCAGCCAAAAAGAAAAGAGAAAAAAAGTAGCGGGCCGATGCGAAATTCTTTTTGATATAAAATAAATAGAAAAATTAAATTAATAAGAGAAACGTGTCTAAATTCATGTGAAAGGTTTCGTTTCTGATCACCGAGTCCAGCGTTCGTTTTTGCCATTGTCAATTATATTATCCGCTTTTAATCAAGCACACGTCATTTCAATGAATTTTCTCTTTATTTTCCTGAAACGAGCACCTGACACAACTTCAAGTGTGTCAATTCGTAATTAATTCCCTTATCTTGTTTTGTTAAAATTACCCGGATGTTTCATCGTCATTATCCTCCATCATTAATTTTCTTGGCGTGGGTAAATCAACTGTTCATTTTTACCCAAAAGGCCCACGCCACTAGGTGACGTGACTTTTTTCACTATGTGTGCTAGAGTCTCTCTCATCTTTAAAAAACTATTCTTGGCCAGGCTGAAAACATTTCAGCAGGGAATAGTTATGTTGTGAGGTATCTTTTTTCTTATAATTTTTCCCAATTTCCGTAATTTTCTTTGCTTTTGAAATTTTCATTTGCCAAATCAAGTGGATCAAAGGGAAATAATTTACAAAAAAACGATTATCTAGTAAATAGAGTGCTCTCCCTTATATAAAATCCGTAACATTGCGTTATAAAGGTTATTTTTTTTTCTGTCTCGCTCTCTTCTGTTCATAAACATATTTAAAAATTGTCATCTCTTTCTTTACAAGCATGAAGACTGTCACTATGTTCTCCGGGGGGGGATTTTATCGAAGAATGCATTTTATACGCTCTTCTGAATGAAGCTTACGTCAACATCACGTTGAAACCTCCGTTCTCATCCAACCAGCGAAGTTAGTTAAGCAACGTCAAGCTTGCTCAGTACCTAGATGGGTGACCGCTTGGGAGTACCAGGTGCTGTAAGCTTAAATGTGCGGGTGGTATAATGTCTCAGAATTATTAACTGGACAGCCGAGTTCCAATTCCCTTTAGATTCTTTACATTCAATTATACACGGACACTTATTGCTCTTTTCACGTTCCTTATTGCAATATCTGCATACAATTAAGTTTTTAGTTGCACTGTAAGTCTCCATGCTTCCTTCGGGGGCATTAAACTTTTGAATCAATTCCAATTGTTGTAAGAACTCCACACATGATTCCAGATTCATATGAGCTTGAAGCAGTGCTAGAATTTTAAGCTTGTATGAGATGCCAAACATTCCTTCAGTCTTAGCAAAATTAGCTTATCTTTGATAGACCTTTGATCCAAACTTATTCTTTCATATTCACAATATCTCAATGCTTCTTTCAATCACTGTACATAATGCTTGCGACCACCCCACTAGACGGAGGAGATCAAGCACGCACTCAATCGTCTTGTAGATGTCAGAGTTAACTCCTCATTCAGTTCGTAACCCTTTCACCAGGGGTCGCTCTTCGCTGCTATAAATAGCCGCTGACCCTTCGCCTCTTTCTCTCTCAGGTCTTCGCATCGACACCTGGAGGTAAATCTCTCCCTTTCCTCAGGCTTTCAGATTACAACCTCGAAATGTAGGCGCTAACAAGGGATAGCGTATCCCAAAATGCTGGGAGCACGCTATGCACAATACACACACACGCACATACAGAATATTCACACACACTTTGTCCTTTGTAACTGTTTTCGTGTAACTTGTTATTAATATATATTTGTATATATGTATTATTATCGGTCTTGTGTTTGTTTCTTTTTTTGCCTTCTTCTTTGGACTTAATTAAAGTCCAACCTTTTCATGTAGTTGGGCCGGCTAGAAGGAAAATCTGAACCCACACGTGTTTCTTCTACGTCTACTTCATCAACAACATAACAGCCACGGTCCACTACAAAACCGGGTGGGTTTAAGTCAGACATTCCAGGAGGAACACGTGTTGTTTATTTTGTTCCAAGATAAATATGAAGACCTAAAGAAAAGAAACAAACTGATATACATATATATATATATATATATTTATAAATATATATATCAAAAGTAGTATTGTATTAAACAACAAATTTCAAATGGACAAAGACAGTAAAACATCTAATTGTTTACCATTTGAAAAACATAAAGAGTTTCTTATTCAGAAATATTTTCAAAATTCGTACGTATTACAAACATTTTTTTCTTAAATTGGCATTGAGACAAATGGGAAGACGCTTATCTTCTGCAAGAGCATTAGAACATTGAAAAGACAGATGTATCAACGTGAAATGAACCAAAAAAAAAAGAGAATGAGGCAAGAAGTCACCCTGTATTTATAGTATAGGGAGAGCGACTCCTAGTGAACAATTAGGGAATTAAGGAGGAGCTAACTCCGACAGTCTTCTTATGCTACAAGATTCATTCCTCTTTACAGACAATGGTAAAATGAAGAGGTACAAAGACCCAACCATCCCTAGGACAATCGCCTTCATTTTGGCCTATCCTTCTTTCTTAAAATAACAGATGTCATTTCAGCACCACTGTAGCTAAAAATAGATATACTCAATCTTCAGAAAAATGGATGATCTTTTCAGTCATTGGTTATTTAGCCACAACAGGATGAGAATTAGAGAATTTTTTGAAAAATCTATGGAATTAATCATTTGAAAGTCTGGATTTTTGATGAAAAATTGTTTTAACCACCTGTATTTGAGAATATTTAATTAAAAAAAAATTTAAAAAACAACAAAGCCTATATGAAATTTTCTTTGGACCAATGAAAACATTGTCTTGATATAGATTGACCAGCAAGCTGAGATGAAAAGGAAATAAATTTGTGAGCCTCTGTGAAATTGATATTGGGTACATTGAAAACTTTGTCTCCGGAGAAATTCCCCCATTGAAGGTGGAAAGTAACGACCCAATGCAAAATTTTACAGAGATGAAAATGAAGAAAAAAATCAAATTAATAAGAGAGGAAAGGTCTGATGATGGAAAAGGAAACCATTTTGACCACTATGTCCAATGTTCAAATTTTGCCATTGTCAGATAATATTAGGGCTTTTTAAAAAGAAAAAACTGGGTGTCTATGTCCTGAATTTCAATCCAGTTTTATAAAAGAATTTTGAAGATCTTAGCTACATCCAGTGATATTTTCAATGGAATAATAAAGAAAAATTTGATTTTTTAAATAGTAAACAAAAGGAATTAAATCAATATTTGGTATGACCTAAAATCAAAATATAGGCAGTTCGTTTTTAAAGAAAAAGTGTAGCAATGAACTCTCTTTTAGTTACTCTTAAAAAAGTCTATGAGAATATACTTTTTAAAAAGCATAATTAAAATAGAAAAGTCTTGTCCTCAATTAGTTTCTTGCTTTTAGGAAAAGAAAAAATTGAAGAAAAGGGAACAAAGATAAACCTCTGTCCTGTTGAAAGAAATTTCATTAACAATATAGAAATTGTCAGTTTTGAAATCGATTTTTGAAATCAATTTTTGTTTTAAAAAAAGTGGATTAATTAATTTTTATGTAATAAAAGATTTAAAAAATAATGCAAATCAAATTAATTTTTTTTTCAAAATTTTCTATACTTATCTAACAGGGATGTTTTACAAGTCTGTTTCAATTTTTGAAGATGTTTTTTCTTTCATGCAAGCAAAATTAGGTTTTTATCAACCTCATTTATTTGATGATTTTAGTTTATTTATAATTAATGAAATATAATAACCTCTGCAAATATTAAAGATCAATTCATATTGAAATAAATTCTATCAATGTTTTTGAAAATAAAAAGAAATGGAAGGCTCTGTACAATTTTTTGTTTTTTCCTGAAGGAACTTGGCATCAAAAAAAAAAAAAATCCAAAATATTAATATACTTGTGTACTGATACCTCCAATTGTGAAAAACAAGAATTATCATTATTCTTAACATACAAAGTTGCAAGGTTTTGGGACATTTTGGTGGAGTGATGATAGCAGGAAGAATACTTTGATTACTTTTTTTTAAATTATGAGTTTAATTCATTTTACTTTGAAATTTATAATAAATTCAATAAAAAAATATACTAAATGACTTATTTTGACAATCAATCTAAACACTGAGTAAAAAATAATAATAATGGGTATAATAATACAAAAGCAGACAAACATTTGATCTTTCTCCTTTTCAGCAAAAAACAAGAAAAAAAATTAGGGATAAAATTTTTGGAACGTTCTTTATGCTTTTAAAATAAGGTACCAAATTCTTTTTTGAAAAGTACTTATTGCTCTTTTTAGGATACTTAATTTTCAAATCTCTGCAGTACTTTTACAAGTTTAATGGCTTTAAAATAAAATCATAGGATATATGTGCAACAATTCTTATAAAAATAGTTTATAAAAAAAATAAACAAATTTTTTGAAAAATTGTTCTGAAAATTGAGTTGACAAGAATTTTTAAAAAATACTTCAATGATTATATATCATAATATTTTGCTTTAATGCTACTATTAAGTATTTTGTTCCTAAATGTTTGATATTTCTTACAATTATGAACAACATGAAAATGAAAATAATTCAAGTAGTTCTGTTAAAAATAAACAAAAAGAAACTAGGGAGGAAAGATTTATTCCTTCTTTCCTGTTTTCAGACCCATATATTCATTAGGAAGCAAAAAAACTCACTGAAAAATATAGGATGTAACTGTTTTTTTACATCTAATACCTCACTCTTTTGCTAATTCATGGTCAAATGAAAAGGCACTCAAACCTGACATATTCTTTTTGCGATGACCGATACCACAATATAACCCAAGTACAATCTTCTGCTGACCCTATATCGTTTATTCATTTATCTTTTCTCCATTGAAGATTCCACCTGTTGGCAAATCTGATTGAATTACAGGATAAAAGATATGGAAAATACCATATTTTGAAACATAATACATCTTCAACAAGCATAGTTAGGATTATTTTTTTCTGCAGATTATTTCTAAAATTAATTTATTATCACATTTTATATACTCAATGTTACACAAATACTTGTTAAATATGGAAAATACAGGAAATACATAATTGGACGGCTGTAATAATATCGTCAGTTCCGGAAATTTTAATGTTTCTTATCAGGTAGAATTTAGTACTATTAGTGGGATACTCAGAGATATTTTTAAAAATGATTCATCTCAAGCACAGGATTAGTGTCTCTGGCTGTGTAGAAAAATCAAATTGGTAAAGATAAACACTCAGTTGTGGGAGCAAGCTAAGTGAATAATAAACCAACCTTCCTGAAAGAGAGCTGCTATTTATTGTCATGCCATGGAGCATCTCATTGTGCTAAATCTGGGATAGTCCATTGTTTTACAAAATTGTAATTTATTACCTGAGTGGAGGTATTCTAATATAAATACCAGCTTGATTCATCAGTTAGTTTTAGGGTTTGTAAAAAATTACAGATATTATTTTTTGTCTGGCATCTGGACTATAGCTGGGACCTTTACGCAAGTAAGTCTCCTGTTTATTGAAAATTGTTAGTTCTACCATACCTGGATTGATCAAATGGATTGATGAAATGCATATTGAAAATAAATTGTAATTTTGAATACAGCTTAATGATCAACAAAGATTTATTAATAGCTTATATGTATTTTGTAAAAAAAGTAAATGATTTTCTTTAAGTTGCTGAATCGTGCAAAAGGAGAATCAATTTTAAAGCTATTTATTAAAAATTTCCTTTTAATAAAAATATTTGTTTTCAGTAATAGCTTGACATTTAAAACGGGTCAACCATCAGTTATCAATGAAATTTACTAAATTGTCCATGTGGTGGAAATGATATGGAAAATAAAGTGTCTGATCTATTTGCAATTCACTGTAAATTCATCTGTAACATTTTCACTTTAGTAATGTTTGCTCTTAACAAAATCAAAACTCAGACCTTAAACACTTATCTGTAGGAAAAAGTTATTTAAAGAGAATAATGATGAAAATTTTGAAACATGAT